TTTTTAAACGTTAGTTTACTTTCGGAGTGTGAATTTTGATAATAAATTAGGTATAGTAAAATTTTATTAGATACAATATTTATACTAAAATTTATATTCCAAAAGCTAGCACATAAGCAATGGTACATTATTGTCACAATGTAATATTTGTACCTAGCAAGCCTATTGGACTTGTTAACCTAAACCCAAAGCACTACTCTAATCCAGGCCTGTTTATGGCGCATTTGATTTCAGCCATCTAAATGGATCTTTACAGGTCCCACAATGGGCTCATAGTACTGCCTCGTTATTCCTTGTTTGGAATTGATTGATTCTTGTATATTGCTTAATCAAATATGAACTTAGAATTATGTATAAAGGGATAATACTTCTGAAAAAAATCATTATGATCAAGCCCTTATTCTTAAAAAATGTACTTATATCAGTTTTCTCCTCTTTTTTAATAATAACAGTATAGTAATAGTAGTGATTGTTGGAAAATCAGTTATATAAAATTGGATTTGACCCTGTTTTAATTGATTTTTGATGGCTAAATATTAATTCGTGTTGAATTAAATTGTGTAGAATAAAATATTCATTTCGAATAGATACTTATAGTATATTTATTTCCCAAAACAAATTTTTGGTGAATGAGAAATAAATGATTAAAGCTAGCCATAAATGAGCACGCAAAACGTTGGTTGTCGGATTCGAAGGGTCAAATGTCCTATCTCACATATAACTCTTAAATGAGATTAACTCTCTTTATTATAATAAAGAGAGTTGGAAAGGTCACAACAACGACAAAGTTATGCACTAAGTGCTGGTGTTTTGGACTCGGGTTTTGACCCAACCCATGTGACACCTTCCAGGTACATTGAACCTGGACGGGGGACCTTTCAATTGTCTACCACCTGACGGTTTCAGAAGTTATAAGGTGGATTAATGGTTTTTTTTTTTTTTTTTTCCTTAAAAACACATTCATTAAACAAACTCTCCAAGATACAATTGTTCGAATAATCAAAGGATTACCAAGGTTTCAATGACTGCCTAGCCACTAAACCTTATGAGGGATCCATCGTGAATATCCCCTATAAGACCACATCGATCGAAATAATACACACCAAGAAATCAACACAAAGAATATGAAGGAAACAGAGAAAGCAAAAACACAATATCTTCTACAACAACACTTAAATTACAAGGAAACCATAAAGGATCTCGAATTTTGGTGCACCAGTTAGGATCATTGAACTTCAGTTGAACCCTGTCCCAACCTGCTTTAATCCCCTCCCCCCGCCAATCTCTTAGCTGCAGCATGATGTCCTCTTTAATCATACCATGTTGCTGTTGGTATCTCCTTATCACCAGTTAGGATTAATGGTGAGTTGAACAGCATAATGTTGTCCATTTATTAGGTTGATTAAAGGTGAGTTAGTCACTTTTATGTTGTCATTTATAAGGTGGATTGAATGTGGCCATTAAAAATATTATTATTTTTTTTAACTAAAAATACATTTGGTACAAAATTATTATTTTTTAATTATTTTTGCTTCTTGAAACCATAGGGGTTAATACATGAACCAAAATTACCTTTCCACAGAAAAAGATTGCAGCCTCTGATCCAAACTTTTAGCCTCGTGCCAAAGCCTTCTAATTAGGAGAACTATAATACAGAACTAAAATCTAACAAATTTAAAGATACTAGTGCATAAAATAACCAAAAACTTAAAGGGACATTAATATATTATCAAAAATAATTTAGGCTAAAATTATCAAAATTATTAAAACTCATAATATATTTGGGGATTCTATTGTGTCTCACGAATAACACAAGTCAAATCAAATCAAAAGTGAAGTATGCACTACTCATCAGTTGGTGACACCTTGTTATCATTTTTTATTTTTTTTTCCAGAAATGTATTGAACAAAAACACCAATGTTTAGCTAGCTAATTCCGTAAAACCCATCTCTTATATTTACCAAATAGATATTATACTAGTGATATTTCCATTTAATTATAGGGAAAAAATAAAAACAAAAATGACACACTCCATATATTATTGACTATAGTCACGGAGCTTTCATGAGGTGACTATCAGTGGAATTCCACCCCCAAAAATAAATAAATAAAAAATTACATTGCTCTGGGCCCCCATGACTCTTTTCCGACCATATAATATGTCATTAATCAAATTTATTTATTTATTCACTATTCTACTTCAGATATATATCCGGATGAGTGACAATGTAGTATGAGCATATACTAATTAATTTATTTTTATTTTTTAATTTATTTATACATGCATATATGATATTAATCCGTGTATTTAATAGATGATGGAATGTAATACATTTAATTAAGAACAGAGATTTGGTACATAATATCAAATATTAATATGTAAGTAACAAATGTAAATGTTAAGGGCTAGTGCGCGTATAGTATCTCAAGTGGTACAATATCAATCATAAATATGTGGCAAATAGAAGATAAAAATGAATTGATTAGTTATATCACACACATCACAAATTAATATGTAACCTTAGCCAACAGTTTGGGTATATTTTAGTGGTCGGTTGCACCTGTGTTAAACTCATAATTTGGAGGAATCTAATTTTGACCGGTCAAATCAGTCATTCTACCTATCTTTTATTATCTCTTGCAAATTAAGGGGTAATAGACTACATTATCGTGACGTCCCCAAGCAAGTGTATATATTTAAACATAATCAAATCATATTGTATATATTTAATTTCATAATGCTTAATTATACAAATTGATTATAATTCAAGTTATGTTATACCTTTTAAGTAGCTCGTTATTTTGTAGATAATTGGAAGAAAAACCCACATTTTAGCCGCCACTACTATTGTATGTTAGTTGTTGATGTGATATGCACCCACAATCCCACAAACTGGTCCTTTACTCATAAAATCAAATTTAAGTAAGTTGTAAATTTCTGGGAGTCTCCCGATATAAATACTCTGACGTTCAAATTAGTCCACGTACACTAAATTGAACTCTTTATGCAGTTGTACAAAACATAATATATATTGACAGTGTAAACAAACTATTTTTATATATCTTGACAAACTATATGTATGAAAGCGTTGATTAACTAAAAATATTCAGATTGAGAATACAAGAGTCTCTTCTTTGGTCGATCTAGTCGACTCACCACCATATTCATCGTATTAGTTCAAGAATAGTCAGATCATCATAACTCGATTTGAGTTATTCCAAAAGATTAACAGAGGTTATTTCAGCTGACTCGCCATTATATATATTCAGTGTGTTATCTAGTTCGAATATTCGTAATCGGGCTATATATTCAACATCACGACTTTGTCGACCGAACCAACAGTCGAGCCGACCTAGTGGCTCTATCCCTTGTAATATCAAAGCTCTCCTTTTAGTTTGATATTGGTTTTTATGGTGGCCACTTCAAGGTCATTCGAATGATCAATATCAGTGAAATGATTGGTGGGTGTACGATTTAATAATTGCAGACTTTGGAAAATGCATGACATCAAACTTATGCAAATATATGTCATAATAGTATCCTCATGTATAAGCTATTGCAATTTTATTTCTTATAATATAACATACCCCAAAAAAAAAAAAATGTTCATTCAATCTTGCACGCATTCACTTTCTTGAGACGTGTCGAGTTGTAAGATCAAATTAGTTAGTATCAAATAATTCGTGGCTATTTCTTTTTTATTCATGACCAACTAATTTATCTAATTCACTTTGTCGGCACATTTGATCCTGGTCAAATTTGGTATACACCAAATAAATTAATCTTTTGGCAGAAAAAAGGAATAAGGAATTTATGAACTTCTCTATCCATTCTTTCAAATAAAATCGACGCCGACCCACCTACCAACACTCGCTATGAGCATCAACTTTAGTAAAAAAAAAATAGAAAAATTGAGCAGAAAATATGGACTTAGCATTAACAAATAAAATAAAATATAACCTGTAACTCAAATGATACATCTACTTTTATTTTATTTTATTTAGGTCATTGGGTGCGTTTCAAAAATAACGAAACTAGAAATAGATCAAACAAAGAAAACACCATATTGAAATTAATGTGTGATAATATGCACTGTTATGAGTTTTATGTTATTTTATTATGATATATCGGCATAGTGATGGCAAAGAACAATTTGAGCAATGTAAATAGCTGACTTCAGGGGCGGAGCCACCCATGGGCTAGGGTGGGCTCCAGCCCTAGGTAAAAAAAAAAAATTATTTATATTTTATATTATTTTGATTATTAGCCCCATATGATTTTTAAGTTAGCCAATTTTATTTGAATCAGCCCAAGACAACAACAAAGCCCACAAAAAAAAAAAAAAAAACAAAAAAAAACAAAAAACAAAAAACATTGATGGGCTTGTTAAAACGATTACACGACTCACTTCTCTTCTCACACACACGCTTCTCAGTTATCACAGACGGGCTCTGTAAACCTTGATATCTCAAGACTCTGTTAAGCGGCTTTGTACTCGCAAGTTTCAAGCCTCTCTAATCTAACCCTGTTCTCTCAAGCGTCCCAATCTAATCTAACCCTGTTCTCTCAAGCTTCTGCGACGGTGAACGGCGCATCTTCCATCTGGAGCCAGCCACGAGGAAGCTAGATTTGCAACTTGCGAGACCGGTGTGCGGGTGCGGCAATTTCAGTGGGAGTTCGGGATCTTCGAGGATCGAGCGGCGGGCAACAACCGGCAAGTCAGCGGGAGCAAGAGTGACTCCGAGATAACAACGGCTGAACTTGAACGGCTTATTCATTAATTTTGGTTTATTGTGTATGAATTGAAATGTGATGTCTGGTGTATGAATTCTATGAATTAAGATGTGGTGACTTGTTCGTTCAATTATTTCTGTTTGTATCTTTGTTCTGTAATCTTGAGGTTGGTTTAATTTTAGTGTGAATTTGTTTGTCTGATTGTTTCTTTGTTATGCCATATGCGAAATTTAAACCTTAATTAATTTTTCTCCCAGTCTATGGTTTGTCATATGTGAATTGAATTAATTGGTTTTTCTCCCAATTTGTGGATTGTGAGGCTATGGGCCTGTGGCTTTATTTGTTTTCTCACTAGTTTTAAAAAGGCTTAAAGACACGCGTACGACTCTTACTTATAGCAATACCTCAATTACGATACACAAACTTTTATCACATAATAGCGTCTAATTAAAACTACTTCTACAAAACTACGAACATTGAAATAAATGGAAACAAAAATTGCCGCTGCAATCTGGATGATATTTCCCGTAATCGATGCGCAATTGATGGTATGAATGTTACTGAAAATGAAATGGTTGAAACAAACCACAACAAAAATGAAAACAATAATTTATTTATGGAAACGTGGTAAATTCGTGGAAGAGTTTTAAAAGTGAAGGCTGGAGTCGTGAAAAACTTTCAGAGGATCTCACATCGTCGGCGATTGGTGTTGATGATTGAAGGTATGTTTTGTAGATCGATATCTAATTTATTAATTTATTATAAATTTATAAACCATTACAAGAATACATTTATCTAGTTTATTTTAAGTTTATCTTAAGTTTATGAACCAGTTTTTCTACCATAAGTTTATATCTAATTTATATTTAGTTTATTATAAATTTACACACCATTACAAGAATATATATTGTAAATTTATATTTATATATATTTTATTTTTCATTTATTATACAAAAAAAATTATATATAGTTTATTTTCAGTTATATAATTTATATATACAACCATTGATAAACATAATATAGATAAACATCAAATTAACACTTTTCAAAGATTATTTAAGTCCCTAGTTTCAAGAAATCATAGATAAATATTAGATAAATGTTGAATTAACACTCAAAAGACTACACTAGTTATTTTTTTACCAGACATTAACACACGTAAATTAGGTTTTTGCTCCAGAAAAATATCAAATAAATTCAAACAGGAAAAAAGAGAAAATTGGGTTTTGCAGATGAAGGCCTAATGAAGATGGGTAAATAACATATTTTTATCTCAGCAAAGTGGAATTTAAGAGTTTAAATCTACTAGGTGGATTCCATAGAAATAATTTTTTTCCTAAGGAAAGAAGAAGAGAAAGGATAAAGGAGACGGATAAGGGAAGAAGAAAGAAGAGAAACGAGAAAGGAAGAAAGGGCGAGAAAAAGCGGATTAGAAAGAAACATAAAAAATACTAATAATTATTTATGGAAATTAAAACTTTATCTCGTTATTATGACCTGGAAAGAAAGTCTAGTCGTCTCAGAGGTTATTTTCTCTTTTAAAAATATATGTATAAGTTTGAGATCAATAAGGAAACATTTTTTTTACTTTTTAGCTTCAATATATGTGTTAATACTTGTTTATACGTGTTAATGCTTGTTGATAATATATTCGATGCCTTAAGGGGTGTGGATGCGTGCTTGGCATTCGTAATAAGATTGTGTACAAAAACTCATAAATTGTTCTTAATTACTTTTTTTTATGTATTTTTTAGTTTGTTCATATCATCTTAAATGCGATTAAATATAGGGTCAAGTTACAAAGAAAAGATAGACTATCAATTCGTTCTTTAAGCCGAAAGAGCATACGTCGGAGATCGCAATTCATTAGCCCCGGGTATTTCAAAATCCTGGCTCCGCCCCTGGCCGTATAGAAGCCACACCTCCGTTCTCCGATCATGCGCCATGGCCGAAGATGGAGAAAAATGGCCCTTCTTCATAATCCCCTCGCCTTTCTCATTGTACCTTTCTGCTCGGAATATAGGTTCACAACTGCCGCAAAATCTCCGGCGAGCTCACTCGGCGACCTCTTGCTAGTCGCTTCCATAGCCAAAACCCTGTCCAAGCCCGGAGGAATTCACACTCTGGACAGAGATGGCGACTCGATCCCCCTCTCCGAGGAGCTTGTCCTCCAGATCCTCCGCCGTGGCTCCCTCGACGCCGCCAGGAAACTGGATTTCTTCCGGTGGTGTTCCCTCAGGCATAATTACAAACACTCGACGGGCACATACTCTCAGATGTTCAGGTCCATCTGCTTTTTGCCCAACCACCATTACAACGATATCCTCGAGTTGCTTGCCTCAATGAGGCGCGATGGATTAACGCTGGATTCATCGACTCTGAAGCTGATCCTCGACGGATTTATCAGGTCCGGTAAGTATGATTCTGCCTTGGAAGTATTGGATTACGTCGAGAGGGAATTGATCGATAAGAGGCGTTTGAGCCCTGATGCGTATAGCCCAATTGTAGTTGCTCTTGTGAGAAAAAACCAGGTTTCCTTAGCTTTGTCTATTTTTCTCAAGCTTCTGAATTCATCCACATTTGGGGACAGTTTAGTCATTCCCGATGCTATTGCCTGTAACGAGCTGCTCATCAGCTTGAAGAAATCAGGCATGAAAGACGAATTCATGGAAGTTCGTCAAAATTAGAAGGTGGCAAAATCAAAGATTTCGAGCAGCCGGGTAATATTGAAATTGACGAGTGGTCATCATCTCCTTACATGGACATGCTAGCAAATAAATTCACGTATGGCGATCAAAGTCCCGTAAAGGGTTTCACAATGTCGAGAGGGGTTCGAGTCATGGCCAAAGGCGAGGACTCTTTCGACATCGACATGGTGAACACCTATTTATCGATTTTCTTGTCCAAAGGGAAGTTGAGCCTCGCTTGCAAATTGTTTGAGGTTTTCACATCCATGGGGGTGGACCCCGTTAGCTACACGTACAACTCGATCATGAGCTCGTTCGTGAAGAAGGGCTACTTTAGGGAGGCTTGGGCCGTGCTCGATGCCATGGGGGAGAAACTTAACTTGGCAGACATAGCCACGTACAACATTATCATCCAAGGCTTATGGAAAATGTGCCGTGCTGACCTGGCGAGTGCCATTCTCGAAAAATTGACGAATGAGGGAGGGTATTTAGATGTCGTGATGTACAACACGTTGATTAATGTGCTCGGGAGTCGGAAAGAAGCGAAGCGAAGTGAAGAAAAGGGGAAAGCGGGCCGGGTTGATAAGGCGGACGAGTTGTTCGGGCAGATGAAGGCGGGCGGAATAAATCTGGACGTGGTTACTTATAACACGCTCATTGAGGTGCATGCGAAGGCGGGTCGGGTTAAGGATGCGTACAAGGTTTTGCGGATGATGTTGGATGCCGGGTGTGCTCCGAATCATGTGACAGACACGATTCTCGATTTTCTGGAGAGTGAGATCGAAAGGTTGAGATACGAGAAGGCTTTTGCCGTGAGGTCTAGCACAGACGATCCCTCCTGAGGGGCAAGACAACCATGTTTGTTAAGCTGTGTTGAAAGTAGTTGTATGTGTAGATGCTTTAGAATGCAGATTTCTCTTTATTATTACTGGATTTTGTGTTGCGTTCTTTGAATTTGTAATCTAGCTAGTAGTTAGTTGTAGGTGATGTTCGGCCTTACAATTTACAAAAGGAGGACTGAGGTTAGAATTTATTGCAAGTTTCTTGAAATGTCGAGCATTTCATATGTGTTTTTATCTTGGATTGTGTTGCATTTAAGCAGCTGATTGTCCTTTGCTCTTTGTATATGTTGGTAACATAGGTTTATATGTAAGACGGGTCCATAAAACACACAAAGTGGATTATTTGCAATAGCAGCCCATTATGCTAAGCGGATAGGCCTAATACCTAACTCTATTGTAGTATTGTTGTTGGGCTCTGAATTAAAATAAACCCACTCCGACCTTGGTTGAATTAATGACCCGATATTTTGACCCGTGACATATCAAATTTCCTTTTTTCGTTTGGCATATTAGTTCCGGTTATGCTGATCGCGCTCATCTTCAGAGTCGGGTTTTCCCTCTCTAGATTTCGATCCGTCGCAACAATCAATCCACTGCTCAATCTCCTTCATTCCAATGCCCACGGCCTTGGATCAAGTCGAGCTTTCCACCGACCAGGTATGCATACGTTACCCATACGGCTGCTATGTACAGATGTACTTGTATGTGTAGATTTGCTCGTCCGCGCAAACTATTGTTTGCCTCACTTTCACATTCTGATGCCAATATGTTTAACAAATTAATCGTTTTGTTTTTCCGCTGATCTTGTAAAGGGGAATTTGTCACTTGTTCAAGAAGAAAATTATGTTATGTTGGCCTATTGGGTATTGTTTGATTCGTTAAAGTTTCCTTTTGTGTGTGTGTGTGTGTGTGTGATTGATTTTTTTTCTTATTTGTTATGATGATTTAAGGTTCTGAGGAGGGATATTCCATGGGAAACTTATATGACCACTAAGCTGATCACTGGAACTGGGCTTCAGTTGTTGAGGCGCTATGATAAGAAACTTGATAATTACAAGGCTCAGTTGCTCGATGATGTATGCCTCTTGCACTAATATGTGTCTATTTTGTTAAAACATTTGATGCATTGTCACTGGAAGGTGTTGCTTGTTGTTTAGTTTGTCCTTTAATAACTTGTATTTGTGTCAAAAGATTCGACTTTTTATCATATTAAGTTCTCGAATTGTAAAAGGCACAAAAGTTTTGTGAGATTTCTGTAGTTATGAACTTATTGAATTTTACTATGATAGGGATTTTAAGTAAGCATTTGTTACAATTTTATATCGCTTGGCACGATGAGTTACAAGTAACTTGTGATATTGTTGAAGAAAATCAGCTATTGCACGCAGAGGCATGACTATGGTGATAGATAGTTAAATTAGATTGGCAGATGTTAGGTGTGGTAATGCTTGCAAATTCCATATGGCAGGCGATAATCATTGTAGCTTGTTTATTTGTTTTTATAGGACACAAAGACCAATCAAACAGAAAGTGTTAAAGGTTTTGATAATAACTGTTACTGTTGGCCACTTTATAATTGTTACAGGATGGTCCAGCTTACATCCGTGATTTTGTTAGCATATTGCGTGACATATTCAAGGAAGAAACTGTAGAGTATGTTTTAGCTCTGATCGATGAACTGCTTTCAGGTAAGTGGACAAGTTGGGTAGATTGTACTTAGGTTGTACTATTTCAAGTTACTGACTTCATATTCTGATTTTCCTTTCTCCATGCATGGCAGCGAATCCTAAAAGAGCAAGGCTATTTCATGATAAGTCTCTCTCCAGCGAGGATGCATATGAGCCTTTTCTAAGGCAATGATCTAGCCTAATGTTGCATTACATCGTTAGTAATGTTCAAGTAGGGTTATCAGATTTAGTCCATTCTGATAGGTTTCTTATGCATGCAACATATGATTCAAATGCCTTGATTCAAAGCAGACTTGTGACTTGATGTATAAAATGACCGTAACATTTAAGTACTAAATAGTTCTTAGCAGTTAGTGCTGCAATCCTGGTATAGTTATCTACTTCAATTGTAAAACTACTGATGAATTTTATATTTTATTGTTCTTGGTCGTTAGCATGAACTTTATATAGATCAATGATCACTCCTTTTTCAGGTTGCTTTGGAAAGGTAACTGGTTTATCCAAGAGAAGAGCTGCAAGATACTTTCTTTAATAATAACGTGTGAATCACTCCCATTCCTTTGGAATATGACTGATTTTGTTTGTGTGTTTAATTTTCTACTTCTTTTAATTGCAGTGGAAGGCCAAGATCTCATGATGGTTCCCATGCCAATGGGGCATCAAAGATAAAGAAGGATATCACGACGATTGATGACGTTTTAAAGGCGCTGGTTGACTGGCTGTGCTCACAGGTTTTATTTTCTTCTCTTTCTATCCTTCTAGTTTTGTTGAGGTCAGAGGAAAGGGAAAGTCTTACAAAGGATTGTTTTTGTTTATGCATGTGTTTGTAATGAGGCCATAGATGTTTAAGCCTATCAAACATAAGAAATGCTCTTGCCAAAACACTTAGAATTTAGTTGTAGTGACCCGCATGTCAGTTATAGAATAATAAAAGATATGTACACATAAACCATTTTTCAATATGTAAATCGATTTTGCAGAGTCGATTTGGATTCCACTTCTCCAGATAGTGGCATTTTATATTGCCTGTTATTAAATAGAGCAGAATCCAAATGATGCGAGGTTAATTTTAGACAATATTACTGTATCAGGAGGCTGCAATCTTTTGTTAAAGTCAGTTTCAGCGATAAGTTGTTGGGCATATTATATTATATCTTTCTAATAAATAACTCTTGGACAGTTTTGTCGTTACTCTACCAGTGAGTAGGTCTCATGCTTATGCATTTTCAATTGTACAGCTAAAGAACCCATCTCATCCTAGCCGTGGTATTCCCACTGCTGTTAATTGCCTTGCCACTTTACTGAAGGAACCTGTGGTTTGATCTTTATTTGTTCAAACAGACGGAGTGAAGTTGCTCATTCCTCTTATTTCTCCAGCATCCACTCAACAATCCATCCAGGTAACCTCAGTTCATGATTACTAGGTGGAAAAATATTTTGCTTATTTCTGCAAATACATGCATGGAATCTTTTTACTTGGAGTTGATTGTAGTGTATGTCATAATCATATCCTATATTCATGTGAAGTTTCAATGACCTTGTTATTTGAATTCGTAGTGTTGGATCATTTGCCACTACAGCTTCTAACTTTCACTTTTTATCTGACCAAAGCTCTTGTATGAAACATGCCTTTGTGTGTGGCTCCTCTCATACTATGAGCCTGCAGTTGAGTATTTGGCCACTTCTAGATCCTTGCCGAGGTTGATAGAAGTTGTAAAGGGATCCACAAAGGAAAAGGTAGGGCCCTTCATATGTTTGAGATAACTTTTTATCACCTTTTTGGATTGCTACCCATTTATATTTTAGTTGTAGCGGCATTTATCTTCAGTTTGCATATACGAATAATCCTCTGTGGAAAATTCCTTTGGCCAAATGTCCATCTTAGAATTACTTTCTATCAACTTATGTAGGTTGTCAGGGTAGTTATTTTAACTCTCAAGAATTTGCTGCACAAAGGGACATTTGGTGCCCAGATGGTAGACCTGGGACTGCCGCAGCTTGTTCAGAATCTAAAAGCTCAGGCATGGAGTGATGAGGTGAGATAACATTTCTATGTGGTGCTCGATATCGGTCCATTGTTTCTTGCTGAAAATGTGTAAATGTAATTGTAAGCCGGAAATCTCAGTAATGAAATTGTTATTTACATCTCTAAATACTAGCAGGAGTACAGCCAAACAGATGTTTTATGGGAATTTTCTCATTTAGATAGGCCAGAAGGCACCTGTACATTACTTTTCTCCAGTAAGCCATTTTAATGTGCCTCAATTTCAATTTGGCAAATTGTGTAAGAATCATCTCATAGGTTTGCAACATCAATCTCTTGGAAAGAACAAAATTCTTAGCTAAGTTCACGTACTTTACTATTCTCACTAATATTCCGTTGTAGATTAAAGAATTAATGAAGAAGTCTTTCCTCGATATATGTGCTTATTCGAAATCCAAGTTATAGTACAACTGTAGTGTAACAATATTCAGTGTAACAATATTCAATTGCCTTAAATATAAGCTTTATGTGTTATACTGGTTTTACATTAGCCAATTTATGGGCAGTCTGTCATCTATGCTTGGACATGACCCGATTTTCTTCACTGATTTACCATGTATTTCTCCATGTCATACATTTTCTTTCATCTTCACAGGATCTGCTAGAAGCTCTGAATCAATTGGAAGAAGGATTGAAAGACAACATTAAGCAGCTAAGTTCTTTTGACAAGTACAAGCAGGAAGTCCTCCTTGGACATCTTGATTGGTCGCCTATGCATAAAGATCCAATATTCTGGCGATACAACATCGCTAATTTCGAGGAGCATGACTTTCAGGTACCATTTACATTCATTCATAATTATGTGGTTGTGATCTCTACTGCAACAGTGTTTCTGCCAAACTGCTACCACTGTACTAACTGCAATGTGAACTTGTATATCGTTTTCTGTTGGCTTATCTGAACTGTAGCAAAAATTTCTGTTGGTTTATCGTTTTCTGTTTCCGAGAAGTCGTTAATTTTTACTATTCGTTTCCCTCTCTTCTTGATTGGACTTCTCTCCAATGAGCCAAACCAAATTGAACTGAAATCAACGATCATCTTCAATAAATCTAGTAGAATTATTTTTATTATGATCTTGTCCGTATCAACTCTTTTTCAGTCTAGTCCTCATTTTCCCCTCTACCCTGAAAAAAAAAAATTCGTAAATCTGTCCATGTGCTTAGAACTGCTTTTCTCATCCTTTAGCAAAAACTTTATTATTTTCGGTTTGCTGCAGATCCTTAGGGTCCTCATCACAATTTTGGACACGTCCACCGACCCACGGACACTTGCTGTTGCCTGCTATGACCTCTCACAATTCATTCAGTACCATGCAGCCGGTCGTATCATTGTTACAGACCTCAAAGCCAAAGAACGAGTGATGAAATTGATGAACCACGAGAATGTAGAGGTCACCAAAAATGCCTTGCTCTGCATTTAGAGGCTATCTCTGGGGGCAAAGTATGCTAGTTTTTTGCAGGCCTAAATGTTATCTTCGTACAAAAAGGGACACGGGGAGTTGTGTGTATAATTTATTCATTTATTTGTGTTTGGGGCGTTTGAAGTGTACCGCCTGACGGTTTTGGTGTTTATGGCTGAGCGAATTATGTTGTATTTACTCATACGCATGAAATAAGTCTGACAGTTTGCGTATGATATTTGTAATAATCATGTCGACTTTTGCCTGGACCAACAGTTGGCTAAATATTCATACTTGGTCCTGTGTGGAATTTTTATTCAATGCTAGATATTTCTTTCATGATGTGTGTAAACAACTTTTAGGAGAGCTGCTGCAAGGGGAGTCTGATTTACTAAACTGTAAAGTACAAGGACCCAAATCTCTATCAACCACAAATTCCTAAATAACTGTGTAAGTATAAGGATCAAACTCTATATCAACCATTCCCACACTCTTATAAGGGTACAACCTAAGCTAATATCATGCAAAATGTAGGACAATTATAATGTTCACGTAGTATAACTCAAGCCATGTCCAATATTCAGTTACAAAATCACAAAACTGATACCGAACCAACTTACGATTGGTTATTGAACAATATCACAAAACCGTTACCGACTTACGATTGGTTATCGTACAATTCTCAATATTTACTAAAACTGAGATTAGTTTGTTAATTTCATAATTAGCAACCACATTAGTCAATTCAGGTTGTGTTAATTTTGACCTATTATTTTGGCATGATGAGTCTACGAAAATTTGAGTTTAAACAAATTGGTAATGATCAAAGGTAAGTCATAACTGTCCAGAGTAATTAAGATTAAATCTGCAAATAAGGGAACCTAAACTATAAGTTGTACCCTTTTGTCAAATATATATCCGTTGAGCTCCTTTGCTCCGGCCCCACCAAAAATGACCGTTGTCGCCCCTCCACCACCGCTATATATCCTCCCTCCGCCGTGCCCCCGAATCTCACTCCAAAACCTTAATCTCTCTCTCTCTCTCTCTCTCTCTCAGAAATCACCTGAATTTCCAAGAAATTCTAACAATTAGCAGAAAAAGAAGTGGGTCTGACGGTGGATAACGGCGGCGACTCGGCCACCCACACCCACAAGGTGTTCCTCCTCACCAACTACGCCCTCTTCGGCGCCGCCTCCAGCTGCATCTTCCTCACCCTATCCCTCCGCCTCATCCCCTCCCTTGCCGGCGCCTTCCTCGTCCTCCTCCACGCCGTCACCATCGCCGGCGCCGTCTCTGGATGCGCCGCCGCCTCCCGTGGCGGCCGATCCAAGTTCTACGGGGCCCACATGGTGGCCACCGTCCCCACCGCCATCTTTCAGGGCTCCGTCTCGGTCCTGATCTTCAGCCGGCCGTATGATTTCCTGGTCCACCTGAAGTCGTACGTCCAGGAGGATAACGGTGTCGTCATACTGAAACTCGCCGGCGGGCTGTGCGCGGTGATTTTCTGTCTGGAGTGGGCGGTTCTGACGCTGGCATTCTTTTTGAATTATTATGCCTACGTGGAGAGGAGGGGCGATTGTGGGAATAACAATAGTTATGGGGCGAGAAGTGGGAAAGTCTAGGATGAGGTTGATTTGAGGACTCTGCCATGGCAATTTCAAGTTTGATGCAAATTATATTGATTCTTTTCTAATGCATTCAAGAAATTGTATTGGGATTTCGTTATATTGTTTTTGTTTGGTTATTTATGAATATTGGAGTGGTTATTTGTTCATTCATCTTTCTCTTTGAATTAAAAAAAATGAGTTTGCATAAATGAGTATTTTTTATCAAGGTTGTGTTGTGGTTGTGCATGGACGAGTAGCTAAATATTTCTATTCATTACAACTGAATTTTTTATAGCCAATTGTGATATACTGAAACTTGAAATCGGTCCAGTTCCCAGAATCCTTTGAATTAGAACAAATATTTTTGAATTTTTTTTTATCAAACCACGCAGTTTTTTTGTAACCGCAAGTGCACAGATGGCAGAATCTTGATCAAATAGCACAGTTTTTTGGTACAGCAGCACCCAAATAAGGATTCTGAAATACAGAGCCGGTCAACAATAAGAGGCCCTGGGCAAAGTATAATATCTACAATATGTATATAAATCTCAACAACAATGATCTAATAACTATAAATTTTTAGATTTTGTTTTCATTATATTTTATAAAATGAGAAGCCTAGGTATGCAAACTAATCAAATTGGTGGTGAGCGCTTGAATCGGGTTCGAACATCTCAACCCGAACTCAAGACGTGTTCGAACCTATATTTATAAGCTTGACTAATTTATTTGAATACTTTTAACTCAATCTGAGCCTATAATTTATATAAATACTTCTAACTCAAACAAAATCGAGCAAAATTTTTATTTGAATAGAAGTTTTTAATTGAAAAAAAAAAATAAAACCTAACTCGAGTGTATCTAGCTAGAGAATTTGTATTTTTATCGAGTTACGTTGAACCTTAAAAAGCTTGGATCGTTGAACTCGATCTCGAGTAACAGTAAAAAACAAACCCCGATTTCATAAAGATATTACTTGAACTCATTGGACTCTTTTGCATCTATATAGAAGCAAAGTTATCATGCTAATTTAATAACATGGTTAGAGAGTGATTTTAGCTAGGTTGAATTTTAGCTCTTCATATTTAATTTTATATAATGCTTTAAGTAATCCATTAATTCTTATAACTTTATGGGTAGAATTGAACTCTCATATTCACCTCAACGTGTTCTAAGTCTATTAAAATGATAGCTATGTTGTATTTTATCACATAATGGACTATTTTCAATGATAATTAATTATTGTTACAAATATTGATTTTCTAACAATCATCCTATATAATAATGTAGTAATGATATGCCTAGAAGAAAAAAACAGTTAGATGACAAAAAAGAAATATCGGTTGTCTTACTTTAGCAATTAATACATTTTAATAAGAATTTTAACAGCATAGCCTATTTGTGATTTGTAATGCATTAATTGCGTGACACAGTAAATTGAAACTTGTGAATTGTGAGAAATTAGACTTTGATAGCGGCCCAATTTAATTGTAAGACAAAATATTGAAGGGTGTCCTTTTTGAGTTGGGTCCTGGGCCTGAAATACATGAACAAAGAAGAAAATACATACAAAAAGACATATCTAAAAGAAATAAATAAACCGTGTCTGTTTTGTGCACCATGTAAGCTGAAAATATGCTCAAAATGTTTGATACTTAATGGAAGGATCCTGCTATGTTAGTTGGAACTTGGGATCACGACTGATGATTACAAATGCAAATGGAATGTCACATTTATGGGGGAACACGATTTTGACAATTACAAATGCGAATGCAACGTCACATTTATGGGATTATTGTTTTCAAAATTATACAAGCAATTTCCAAAACGGGCCGGCCCAGATCCGGGCCTCAAACCCTCGGCCCGATTTATTATATATAATTAGTAAAGTAGCATAGGGCTTTTCTTTCTTCACTCCCCCACCACTGTTCACTTCACGCCCGCCCGTTTTCCTTCATCCAGCTCGCGCCGACGAGAGTTACCCGCACTAAATATTGAAATGGCTTTTACTAGAGGCATGAACCGACCCATTGAAATTATATACAAAAGATTGAGCAGTCCTGTGAAGTGTGGCCATGCTTATTCTACTTATACAACGAGCAAGGGAGTCTCCTCCTCAGTGTCTAGGTTTTCGGAAATTAATGCTTCTGGTTTCTTAAACTATTCTCGTTCAATCAATAATTCCGGGATTTGCTTCATTCGGACATACTCTTCTCAAATCTCTGCATCCGAACAAATGAATCTCATTAAACAGCTGAGGGAGAGGACAAGTGCGCCAATCAAGGAAGTCAAGTCTGCTCTTGTTGCTTGCCACTGGGATATTGGTGTGCACGTCAATTTTCCTTGAATTTCTGCATTTTGAAGTTTGTGCTTTCCTGCAATCATACTAATGAGGATTTTTAATTGATGCCTACTGCAGAGGCTGCACAGAAGGAGTTGAGAAAAAAAGGAGTTGTTCTTGCATCAAAGAAGTCTTCTCGAACTGCGGCCGAGGGATTGGTTGCAGTGGCTCAGGATGAAGAGAAGGCTGTGGTAATTGAACTCAACTGCGAAACGGACTTTGTTGCCAGAAATGACATTTTCCAATATTTGGTTAGTATGAGAATTAGTTTCTTCCTCTGCTCAATTGACTTTCATTCTCCAGCTATTGGGTACTTCCTTAGGCCTTTAGCTTTCTGGTTTTACTTTGTTGTTGTATGTGTTCAATAGCAGCTTATGCTTTTGTTTGAGTAGCCATTTTCATAAACGACATTCAATAATCATACCCTTGGGGATTTTTTTTTTCTAGTAGTCAGCATTCTTTCTTGATTATTACTGATATAACTTTTTTGTGCACACTGCAAATGCCGTAGGCCTTATCTCTGGCAAAGACTGCTTTGCAGCTTGAACGTTCTGCGGCTGCTGTCTATGCTCAAATAAATACTTCAGTTGCTCCCGAGTACCTGTGGGTGAGTAACTTTTTCTTATTCTTGCCTGAAACAGATTGGTCAGTGTTTATTTTTATATAGTAATATATATTATTGTTTTTCAGTTTAATGTCGATTGTATTGTCATAATTGTCTTTGAGTCGGCCACCATCATGATTTTCCAAGGTTTCACGAGTAGTTCTCAATATCATGAACTTCTGAAGTTGTGCTTCGATCTGGCAGGATAACAATGGAGATGTTCTTTTGGCCTCCTTACGGTTAATTTTGACAGTTCCCTTTACATTTTTTACTTTTCAGGATTTGAAGGTAAATTTCGACCATCCTAAGCTAACTGGAGAGAGAACTGTACAGAATGCAATTGTAGAGGTTGCTGCAATGATGGGAGAGAATGTCAAACTTAGAAGTGTGATCACACTACCCGCGCCTTCACATGGTGTTTTGTCTACATATCTCCATACTAGTCCCCAACCAGGTAACCAAGAACTTAATATTCCATTGCAAAGGACTGGTTTACGTTTTTACATGCTTGTTCTCTTACACATGAGGAACTTGTAAATGTGCCATTTTATGGATATGAGATAATGTTGAAATTTTTTAATGTGGCTCATGCTTTCAATTCGAAATCCAGGTATAGGACGTATTGCTGGACTTTTATCACTTGAGGTGGAGGATAAGAATGTTTCCCTGGATGCAGTCCAGCGTGTTGGATCAGAAATTGCTATGCACTTAGTAGCTGCCAAACCATTGTTCCTAAGCAAGGAAGATGTTAATTCTTATTATTTAGAAAATGAACGTGATATTATCCGATCTCAGGTACTAGTTGGATACTTTTGGTGGTTTGAAGACAGTTCATGAATAGACTTGCATTATATAAATGTTTAAACCTGCAGAAGTGTCTTGGTGTAAATAATCTGAAGGAAGAAGATATTTAGAACAATTCCTCTGTTAATTCTAAAAGCAAGCAAGTGTAACAATAAGCAGGCTAAAGTTATCCAAACTAGATTGATTACAAAATTATGTGTGCCCTTATAACAATAAGTTGTTATTTGTAATAGATAACCAAGTCTTGAATTAAGAAAGTAGTATAGCTAATCCAAGATCATAAAATCATGATAATCATTTTTCTCTAGTAACTGCTTATATTCTCCTTATTCTTTCTTGTTATGTGTCTCTACAATGAGCATCATCTTGTTTGAGGGAACTTGATACATTCTTATATGTTTCCAAAATGGGTACTGACTGAACTTGACATGAATAACAATACAATTGTGTTGGTACACTATTTATGGTTTGGTGAAACTGGCAGATTCAAGTTTTAAATATGGCATTTTTGACAATTTCTCTAGCCACAGAGCTGTAGGTTGATAGAGTTGATGGTGAATTAAAGGAAGAAATTGTGAAACTGATTTAAAGGAACGAGAAGAAAACAAAGTAACTGCAGGCGAGGCTGCCCAAGTGCAAATGCTGATCAGAATTTTTCTTGCCTAATCAGGCTTTGCTGTTCTTCTTCCATGTCTTTAGAGAATGAACCCTACTACTTCAATAGCTACTGATTAGGGTTCCAAATCAAAAGCCATGTGCATTACTTTGTTCAAACCCGAATTAAATAACTTGCTTAAGATGCAGAATCCAGAATTATAGATGCTTAAACATCAATCCTAATCTTAATGCTACTTCCTCTTCCATCTTTGGGATTTTTCGCAATAATTACAGTAGACATTGTTGGTATCTTATATGCATATCTGTGCTTAGTTACTAAAATTCATTTACATTTTACTCCATTAAACAATATTGTCCAATTGTCCATTGCAAATGGAGCTAGAAGAGTCATTGTTGACAATTCTCCTTGCATAGTGCTAATAATGGACTAGATCAAAATGGCTCAATTAAATTCTAGTGCTTCTTCTATTAGTGAAGTTTCTAGAAAAAAAAAAATATATCAAACGGCGCAATGCACCTTGGGTCGCTACGGAAACAGCCTCCTTGTATAATTACTAGGGTAAGGTCTGCGTACAACTGATCCTCCAGACCCCAATCTGTTGGGAATATACTGGGTATGTTGTTGTTGTAGTTGTAAACAATATTGTCCAAGAAAATCCTTTCTCGAGGGTGAGTAGCTATAGTTGATTTATCAGGATACAATTTTTTTTTCCTTTTTTTTTTTGTTTATCCTATAATTCCTTTTCTTTTCAAACATCTTGGTTGAAATTTTCGCATATCTATGCTGCAACTATAACTGCTTTTTTCCATTCTTATTAGGCAGAGCGTACAGGGAAGTCTCAGATGGCCATAGATAAGATGGTTGAAGGTCGTCTAAGAAAGTATTTCGAGGAAGTTGTTCTTCTGGAGCAAAAGTTTATCGTAGATGACACAATTAACATTAAGGTCTACTATTCCAGTTGTCTCTTTATTGGTTCACTTTTCTCACTTTTGGTTTTATCTCTGCCATTATTTTGTTATCTGAAAAGGCATATACTTATGAAGAGCATATGTCGACATCACATTTCTCTCATGTTAATCTCCACATTCTCAGACAATATTCTTTAAATCCAGTGAGAATAGTGCTTTTTTATTTTATGTCAAACTGCAAATAACAGTTGGTAGTTCAGACAGAATGTGAATTTTTTAACTGAGTCCCATAAGTACCTATTGTGCTAGATTCAGATTAGTTTTGTGGTAGCCCTGTGCAGTTTTTTATGAGCGATTTCAACATTTTATACCCATTATTGCAGACACTGTTGAATAAGTTGTCCAAGGAAGTTGGATCCACCGTGAAAATCGGTAACTTTCTCAGAGTAGAAGTTGGAGAAGGCCATAGGTAAAAACTTATTTTACGTTTGCAGTTTTTTAACTTTATTAACCTAAAATCCTGAAGCATTCCTGGTTTATTAAATTAGTTTTGCCACTTTAGTATTCCCATTAATCTTTTGAAAGATCTTATAAACTATCGCATGCTTTTGGTTCTCGTGCAATTTAATTTTTAGTTGCCTTTTTTTCTCCGAAGGATTGAAGCAGCTAGTGGAACAGAGCCTGTATCTCAGGTTGCGTAAGGACTCCAGCAACTCTTTACCTGACAAGATCAGTATTTTATTGGACTTTTGAGACTACAAACTTTGTGAATGTTTTGTTATAAAACTTTACCATGTTGCAAATTGCTCCGGGTCATAATCAGAACTAGAATAATTGGTTTTGTTGCATCTATATAGCCGCGAAGTTCCCGCATAAATTAGTTCAAGATAACTAAA